CAGGACAGCTCGTCCATAAAGACCTTCATCCAGTGCAGGAAGTATTTCTTGGTATCTGCTGGCTGTGCCTGGAGAAAGTCAAGGAATGATTTCATCAGCCGGTTGAGAGGGAAAGCTTGCTCCAGTTGCTTTCTTCTTATTGCCGCCTTCTCGTTTTCAATTTGGCTGCGATGATGCTCAATGCTCTTGTTCCCCTTCTCCTGCAAGCGAGTGAGCTCTYTGTCCTTTTTGCACCACTGGTACCACAGTCTTCCTTGAAGGGGCAGCAGTTGGGATTTGATCTTGGACAGTTTCTCTTTCTTCAGAATGTCCACCAGCTCCTTTGCCTTTGCTTTGGCCATCACACACGCGGGTTGATCTGMATCCACAAAGAATCCRTGCTGGAGAGCTTTGTCCAGGCAGGCGTCCAGGCTGAAATGAGGTCTAGACCCTTCCAGGAGATTGCTGATTGTCTTGGTTAGCTGGACCATCAGTTCTCCTTCATTGCTGTTCTTGATCCCTATTTTTATGTTTTTGCCAGGTCGCCCAGCTGCAACGTTCTCTTTTTCTGTGAGAAGACAAACCAAAGGCCTTTGCGACTGCAACAGGCCCTGCAGAAGCTGTTTCCCACTGTTGTCAATGTGCTCCAACTCGGATACGAGAGCCACGTTGACAGCAGATATCTCCTGCAGGAACTGCAGCTGCGCTCCGTGATCGCGKGCGTCTCCATGCAGGTTACAGAAAGCCACGCAGCACTCAAAGGTGTCGTCAGGGCTCCCACRGGGGCAGTACCAGGCGATCTCCACCACCCCTTCCATCAGCAATCGCTCTCTGGTGCTGCCTCTGCAGTGGCGATGGAAGAAAGTGTCGTGTTTGCGTTTGCTCAGCAGAGCATTCAGCAGYTGAGACTTGGAACAGGAGGCTGAGCTGCCAATGCGGATGAAGGACACGATGGGCGTCTGTGCCTGAGAGATGAGTTTGTTGTTGTAACACTTTGTTCCGGCCTGCTTTCCCGACTTGTCCGCCTCTTTCCAGCTCCTTTGGATTTGGCTGAGGGCGTAGAGCGGGAACTCAATGTGTGAAGTGCCTGGGTTGGGCACCAGCAGAGGCAGCGCCAGTTGGCAGAACGCCAGCTTGTTTGCAAGGGTCTGTCTCAGGAAGTCATCAGCACAATGGAAAATGGCCATCTGCAGGTCCATGGGGTGCACACCGCCATCCCTGCTGGCAGGTTCAGGGACTGCTTCCCCCAAATCATTGAAAAAGTTTTCAAAGGAATCTGACAGTTCCTGCTTTTGCTCGCTGGTTTGTGGCACGGGTGCAAGCCCTGGGTTGCTCTTGTCCCAGCAAGTCAGGTACCTCACCCGGTAATCCACGGTTAACAGCTTTTGCAAGAAGTAAAACGGCAGTTCCTTGTCCTTGCTGGGCTCTCTGTCCTGCAGAGATGTCTTGCAGATGGTGTGGAAATATCCCATCCCCATTTTTTTTGGATAGTGACTTTCCAGTCCAAGGCGCTTGAGCAACTGCAGGAACTCCTGGTTTGCAATGGCT